GATTTAATGCAAATGTAACAGTATTTTATAAGAGTGACATAAGAGTGATATTTATCTAGATTGTTTGAATTACTTACCGAAATTGTAGTAATTCTCAATCTTTGTCTACTGAGATATGGCTTCGTTGTAAATTTAACCGTACAGATTTAATGCAAATGTAACAGTATTTTATAAGAGTGACATAAGAGTGATATTTATCTAGATTGTTTGAATTACTTACCGAAATTGTAGTAATTCTCAATCTTTGTCTACTGAGATATGGCTTCGTTGTAAATTTAACCGTACAGATTTAATGCAAATGTAACAGTATTTTATAAGAGTGACATAAGAGTGATATTTATCTAGATTGTTTGAATTACTTACCGAAATTGTAGTAATTCTCAATCTTTGTCTACTGAGATATGGCTTCGTTGTAAATTTAACCGTACAGATTTAATGCAAATGTAACAGTATTTTATAAGAGTGACATAATAGTACCAAAATTGAATTACTTTCTACGAAAGTGCCTTAGAATTGCAGCAACGTTGAAAAAATATACGCGAAGCCGGTCATTTGAACATAGGTTCACTAGGTTCAGTGTTAGTTTCATCTCAAGATCAGTACATTTGTGACCCTCTGCGCACTCGATATCGTCGCTTACTATTACGTCCCCATTTTCGAGAGAAAGTCAATAAAGGATCGCTTCGGAAACAGTCGTTTCAAATATTTTTGTTACAAAACTGTGACGGAACTGTTCGTCCTGAAATAATTCGTCTCTCGCGCGAGTCCTGCAATTGCATGAAAGTAGAGTAACAGAAAGTGCCAACAAATCACCGGTAATTCCTGATGAGGACAGAACGCTCCTGAACACGCGCAGAAGACGCGTCATTCCCCAATATTTCGTGCGTGACGAATGGCCCGCAATCCTCGAATTCGTCGAGACCCTGTTCTTGTTACGATCCTTCGGCGCGATTTTCTCCAAGCCGCACAGACGAAAGATGAATTAGATTTTGAGAAGAAGCTCGGCGGCGAACAAGCCCACCATTGGTAGGAGACACCTGTTCCATCATCAACGGGACGGAAATAGGATCTTTGACGAAGAGACACACGCCATTTGTCGCGGCTCCGTGCGTGTCGTAATTTCATTCGTCAAACGACCCTTCCTTTCTTTGCATTGTCCTTCCAACATGATTAATTTGCCGTCTGAGTAGCCTGCTTTTCCTGTGAGGCGTTCTCTGTGCACCTCTTTAAACAAGCTTACAAAGAAAACGTAGGCTTTCGGTTCTCTTTTTGCGAGCAGTTTGTCATAATCTCAAATGCTTTACGATTGCGTTTCAATTTTAGCAGGGAACAATTACTAATTACGTTTCGATAGTGTAAATGATTATATATATATTCGACCAAATTTAATTTTTGCTTTTCTCATTCTTCTCTGCTGCGATCTTGGTGACGTTTACGATCGATTTTCGGATTTCAATTACACAATTTTACCAGAAATTTCGCAATAAGATGGCTGTGTTTATTTTTATATATTTGTTCGATACATTAATTTTCTATATTTATGAAAAGTGTTTATCTGGATGCTTCTTAAATCTTAGAGTTAATTCGACAATCTTAATCGTCTCTGCTATTTCTGATACATCATATCGAAGATAAACAGTGTATACGTATATATCAATCACATTTCATCGTAAAATAGTATATATATTTTTTTATTATATTTTTATTATATATATATATACAATTTTTTTTATCTCCATTCTGCAGGTTACTATCAGTCAATTTATTGACTCTTATAAATTCTATAAATTTTTATACTCTTCCTTGTACTCTTTCATGAATAATAAATGGCTAGAAATACAGAGCGGTTCACCGAAAGATAGTCACCTAACTACCTTCTCGTTCGTCTTAGTCATGTTTGCTGGGGTATTAACAGGAATGAATTTTTTCAGATTGTCAGGCAGCACAACGGCGATCGGCAGTGCAGCCACCGGTGGCGGTGGCGGCGGTGGTGGCGGTGGCAGTGGCGGCGGCAGTGGAGGTGGCGGGGCTGCTGGAAACGGAACTTCCGGTGGCGATTTCCTCCGCAGAAGTCACCCCCTCTCGGAGCATACGGCCCTGCATCCCGCCTATCGGCTCAACTACATGGACCACCTTTACCACCAGCTCCAGGCCTCCACGCACAGTCCCAACGCCTCGTTACACGGTAATTACCTTGGCTTGTACTTGTTCCGAGATAATTAGAACGACCGTGAATGGCTGCATCGCCTAATTTTTAGACTGAAATTTATTCATACCAGCGACGTATGGAAGATCAGGCATTGTAATCGCTTTCTCGGTTATAACGTTATTATTAGGTGCACGAACGTGCGATCCAGTCTTCCAATTTTCTAACTTTTCAACTAAAAGCGAACTTTTGGTATTGTTTGTACGGAATGTTCTGTGACAGAAGAGTGTTTTCTACGACCTTTTTGTGAATGGATCACGGCACAATCAAACAATGTACAGGGTATCCTATAATTATGTTAACACCCGGAAAGGGATGATTGCTGAGATCATTTGAAGTAACTTTTTCCTTAGCGAAAATCCAAACCGCGGCTTTGTTTACGAGTTACTAATGGAAAACATTGACCAATGAGGGGTGAGCTCGCCTAGCGCTAAACGGCCGAGCCAATCAGCGGAACTGGGCTTCGACAGCTTGTTGGCTCGGCCGTCTCGCATCAGCTGAGATTGCTGTATTTGTAACAAAGTATATAAAAAATATTATAACAGGTATAAAATTAATATCTTTCTATGTATTCTCTTAACACTCTCTCTCTCTCCCTCTCTCTCGTACTCTCGCTCCTTTTGTTCACTCTCTCACACTCGTACTACACTCGTTCTTCATTGTCATTCACACACTTCAAATCAAATTCCCTACGATACCACAATATTTGCATTCATCTACTCTCACGCCATCACGCATCCTGATTATCAAACTCATTCCCACGTCACTCATAATAGTTCACATCTAATCAATCACACTCTGTGGCTTTTGTAAAACCAACTCCACATTCTTGTGTTGTTACTAGACTGCGTATCTTTGTGCATAGAATTAGTTTCATATTATTTTGGCGATGGGAAATTTATTAGTTCGGTCGGGCAACAAGAGGCACAAATTCGAGTAAAACGAGTTGGGGATGATGAAGATACGTGGAATACTTTAGAGATTATTACACACACAGATAACAGTATAGGTTCAGTGATATTGATGTGAAAAAATCTTGCAGATAATGCAAGTTAAATAATTAATATTTGATTATAAAGTAATAATAATTGATTAAAAAGTAACAACTTACATATTGAATTTCCATTCTTTCAGGTTCTTATACCTTTAAAAAAAAATTCAACATATTCTTCACATCTTTTCAATATGATCGATGACCAATGAAAAGAAATTACGATGGCAAAACAAAATAAGCTAACATAGCGAAGAATGCACTGAAAATAGACGTTAAAAGGTACACAACACAAAATCAGGGCATCGTATTTAAAACATTTTCTTCTCACGTTTACAAGTAGAGATTCGTTAATCAGACTAAAGATATCCGACTACCATTATTTAAACGCAATCATATTTCAATTTCTATGTTTCATTATCGTATATCATCGTTATCTTCCCGATCGAAAAAAAACAAGTTCCTGTAGAAAGAGATCCAGCCTATTGTTCCACTTGAAGATCGAGAAGCTCTATGAATAGGGCCCGCATTTCCGGCGGAAGGATCTCTTTGAGGCACGAGTTCTTTGAATCCGATCCATTAGATCCGTTCTAAACGCGATCAGATGCTTTCTATTCGAGAATGGAATTTTTTTTCATTGTGGCCGTGCGTGTCACTGCTAACGATGTCCTCTGCAATTTTTCAGGACTGGGTGGTTTGGGGCCCGAGTACCTCCTACACGCTGCTGGACCTGCGAGTACGCTTGCATCTACGGAATTCCCTTTCTCAATTGACGGTAAGACTTCAATAATTCTGTTTGCTAAAAGCTATGCGATTTTTAGAGTATCGCAATCCTGATCAAATGCATGTGAAAGTAAAAAAGTTTTGAAACGTGATTTCAATTTCTTTTTTTGTCGTTCAAGCCAATTGCAATTTTTGCAAAAAATTTGTTATGCATTATCTAGCAATACTAAACCTTCTAGCATCTCAGAAAAATTCATATCATTTGGTCCTGGTTCAAAAAAGTTATTCCGTTTTAAAGAAGCTCCATATACAATTCGTCCACGGCTATGTAAAAAAAAAACATGCGAGATTAACAAAAAGTAGCTCGTTGTTGCGTCAGCATGGATTACGACACGTAGCATTACGTCACGTAGAAATAATATCATGATTGAATCGTGCTCGATCGAAGCCAAGGTATTTGACACCAGATTCTTCTTCTTAGTATTATAGATGGTCCGAGATTTCGTCGTGCGTGCTCGAGCTTGAAATCTTGGATGCTTCTGTGAAGGGACCGACTATCGATCTCTGATCTATTAATCCTCCATGAGAGGATCATTTTCTTTCTCGACCAGTCATTAATTTAAAAATACGCGTTCGTTATAATTTGATTTCGCTTAACAGAATCTATTCTTTAACCTAATACAATAAGCGTTAAGTGCTGTATTTTTCAAATAATTTTATGAAACGTGTTTGGAACAATGGCTTCGATATTTTCCTCAAATGTAAAACCATCTTTGAAGAATTAAAATCACGATTGTGGATAATAAGGTGTGGGCGCAGTTCCAATCAGTATTCAAGATGAATTTGAATATGATAATTACACGTGAAATTAATACACATTGAAATTTGCAATATAATAATTAAACGTTAGGTTCACTTCCTTCGTTGATTTATCTGTTTCATTTGACCATTGGATTACAACGGAACAAATATTGTTCTTATTACAACCGTTCTTATTACAATTTAAGTTGAGTCTAAAACTAAGAAATTTGATAATTTAAACGAAAATGGCGAAGGATTGACAATGCGAGAAAATTTTATTCTATGAACTGTCTTCCATAATTTGTTTCAAGAATTCACGAATCTTTTTTATACAGAAAATTCTCCCTAATTTTTCTTCAACTTGTAAACAAAAATGGACAATTCGTGAAGCGGAAATACGATTATTCGAACCTAACTATAAAAATGAGCCGCGATGCTCGAATAATCGTATCGTCTCTTCCCAAATCGTCCATTTTTGTTTACAAGCTGAAGGAAAATTAGGGAGAATTTACTATATCGTAACCGATAAACCGATCTCTAAATTATTCCAACATGCAACTTCCTTCGAAAATGAAATGAAACGAGCAGTATTTTATGTCTTACTAATCTAATATCATTTGGTCTGGCCAATCGTCGCTCCGAATGCTCGAACCATTAAGTTTCGATGTCTCTGACGCCTGAAATTGAGAACTTCAAGAAGATTTGATCAAAGTCTCCGAAGTGCCTTCGACTGTGCAAATGACCAGTTGCTCGCCGAACGAAAATTCGAGATTCTTTTCGTTCGGTGACGACAAGTGAATCTAATGAAAGATCCTGATCTACGGTATACGCGACTAGCCGTAGGTGTAGTAGCACTAGCAGCAGGTAGGAGATCGACCGGTTAAGAGGCCGAGAAGCTAAAAGACGACTGAAAGGGTAAACGGGGCCTCGTTAGTCGCCACCGCCGCATAATTGAATCGACTCGGAGCGACACGACCTCATTAACACCTTAGCGCCTACCCTACAGGTTGTCTCACGTATCTTCTCCTCCTTCTTCTTCCTCCTACCCCTCCCACGTTTCTTCATCGCAGCGTTCGCGTTCGGTTCCCGTTTTTGTTCTGCTCCCTGCGCTCTCGATCGATTTACCTGCGGGAAAATTCTTTGTTCACATTGTTGATTCGACAAATTGCTATACTGCAGAGGTAGTTCAGAGTCTGCGTACAATTTCTGTTCGAGCAAACTCCAAAGTTGTTAATTTTCTAGGAAGTGTTTAAACAGAGGAGCGCGTTACGTTTCTTTTCTTTTTTTTTGGATTATTTCTATGGTTCAAGAAATTAAAAAGTTTGATTCGTTCTAGACTTTTTGTATTTAAATCGAAGATTAATATTTATATTGAATAGAGCATTCTGTTAATAAGAAAGGAATATCATAAATTGGCAGAATACAAAGGTTACCGATCTCTAGCAATGGCCTCTAAATTATTTGCAAAATGCTGTACGTTGTTCATTGCGTTGCAGTATATGTATGCTTTATAAGAATGCTAGGATTTAATTTATTTAGACCTTTCGCTATTTTAATTCTGATTACGCTTCTATTACAAACGTGGTTTAAATAAAAAAACAGAGAAATAAATATTACATAAGATAGTCACGTTAATTCTATGCATGGCATAATTTAAAAAATTAGGAGAAAAACGTAGGATTCTGTGTTAAATTATTCTACATTATTCATAGGATTCTACGCTGTTAAATTACTTTAACAGTTCATAAAGCGAGTGGCTCACCTTTAATCGAATAATTCAAAAACGGAGATGGCTAACAACAAAAATTGAACGTGTTAAGCTAGAACAAAATCCGTCGAAATGATAGGCAGTTTATTTTACACGTTCTATGTTTCACAATTGTTGTTATTCCTTTGGTTGGTGAATTATACGTTTTGTAATAAAGATTATGCAGTATCTCGATAAGTTTGGTTTCGTTGCCCTGAAAAGACAAGGCAAATTAGTTGCGTTCGACGGCCGATTGTTCTAGGATTCAGATCACGGATTCTAGAGGAAGTCTTTCGAATCGGTAGTTTGAAACGACCTGTAGCGCGGTAGCATGCGGTGAGCAGCGTCGAATGAGCCGCGCCGATCGGAGTGCCCGATTGCACCAATTTACATGTCTCAATCCCATGTTAGCCCCACGAGGGGCACGGGCGAGGGGGGATTGGAACGTATGGAACGTGTAGAGCCCAGAGGGTCGTGGGTCACGAGGACGTTCGGAGGTGAGGCGAGGGAGACGGCCAAGAATCGTTCGCATATTCATTAAGAGTCCTCCTCTTTTTCACTCCACAACGCGCAGGCCAACAGATAAACAGTGCAACCATGCAGATAAGAAGATCGACTCAATGTGGGAAAAGTGCATCGTGAAATCACGTTCGAACGAATACACGTACCGTTGCGCACTTAGGAACGGGTAATGGAAACATTTGCACATCGTCGATCCTTTATTGCTGCACAGGAGGTTTTTGAGCGCGAGGATCCTCGAAAAAGGAAGGAAACACGTTGACTTTCATTTCGTCTTGCGACGGGTGGTCCTCTAATTGGTAGAAGTATATTTTATGTTGCTTAATTTACGTTTGCTATCAAATGAATTCAAATCGGTGTCAATCATATAACTTCACGTCGATAGAAATCTGTTATGAAATTGATGAAAAAATGCAGAATATTCGTGCGATGATAATAATAATTTTCAGTTACAAGTACATTACAATTTATGTTGACTTAGACTTTCTAAAATAAATTTGCGCATAATGATATTCTAAATAATTGCAATTTAAGTTGAGCTAAATATTCCAAGATTTTAGACATAAAGAGATTCTAAATATTGGTTTGGCAACTAAGTAATTGCCGATTTGTTCAATGAAATAAAAAATTTTTTTTACTTGGAATGAAGTTTAATCTGTAATGTATTTTCCATTTTGTTCGATGACCTTTTGCCACCTCTCTGACAACTTGAAAATTCCACGCTCGTAGAAAGTCTGATCCTTTTTGGCCAAAATCTGAGTTAAGTGAGATTTTACAGCGTCATCATCATTAAAAGTTTTACCACGAAGGGAGTTGTCCAGGGATCGAAATAAGTGGTAATCCGATGGCGCGAGATCAGGGCTATATGGTGGGTGTAACATCAATTCCCAACCAATATCCATCAATTTTTGCCGAGTGGACAAAGACGTGTGCGGCCTAGCATTGTCCTGCTGGAAAATGACACCTTTACGATTGACCAATTCTGGTCGGTTTTCCTTTACCGCTGTATTCAATTTGTCCAGTTGCTAACATTCATGGATAATAAAAAATAACATAATAATAATAATAATAATAATTTTATAATATAACATTTACGGATATCATAAAAATGGGAGTGAGAGACATCTATAACTGAAATCGGCAATTACTTAGTTGCCAACCCAATTATGATTATATGAAAAAAAAGAACGCGATAGGTACTAAATGCTGCACATTATCGAAGTTTCAAGAATCAAAGAGGCAACGTAAGATTCCTCGTAAAACGCAGCCGAGCGCAGACGGATTCGCTTGGGTTAGCTGGAAAGTTACAAGAAACCGCAACAAAGGCCACGATAAATGTAAATCCAGCTTTATTACGGGACAAGAACGAGAATCCCGAAAGTACACGATGACGGTGGCGGGAGAAACGAAGTCGGTTTCACTCCGCCGGCCGAGCGACGAAGACCGCCAAGGAACCCTAAACGTTTCAGCTCATGCGGAAAAACCGCATGGCAACCGTTTCTCCTTTCTACCCCTTTACCTTCGCTCTATCTGTCCCGCTCTCCTGCTCATCCGTACGCTTGTTGACCACCGTAAATTTGATCAGTGCTCGAATTAATAAACCGGCGATGGGATAAAGGAGCGCGTTCGTACGCGCGACGCGCAGGGAGACAGACCGGGGCCCCAACCGCGAGTAATTCTATACCCGTTGTGCGCAAACGAGCGATCAACCGAGTGGAAACCGAGGAGAAAGAGCTGGTTCGAACCTCCTCGTGGCTCTCTGTATCGCGTTGCCCGTGTGAGACGACACGGGGAGATAGAGGAGCTCCGAAGAACGGCGAGGTAGTTGAAACGGAGATGGTCTGAAGGAGACTGGAACGCCGTGGAACGGCGGAAAAAACGTGGAGGGCACGGTAGAAATCTCGGATCAGTCGAAGAGTGAGCTGTCGTGATTGGAAAGCTGATAATTAAACTGCCGATGTTCATGGATATTTTATTTATTCATTTATTTTTCAGTTTTAAATCGCGTTCGCGTTCGTGGCCGTGCACGACTTTACATTTTATATTTCCTGCATTATATGAACAGTTACAAAGAAAATCTATGACATATTACACAGTACATGATGATACATATATTATTTTTAACAAAAGAAAGTAGGAATGTTTCGAAAATTTTCCAACGTGTTTACACTTCGGTATTTTATCCAGTCATTTTTATCTTAACTTCTTAAAGTCCGCAATCTGGTAATAAAAATCCATTAATCCTTCACTACTACACCTATTCAAACTTAAGCAAACTCATAAACCGCTAATGTTTACTGTGCTATTATTACCACAAAAGTGTCGAATAGAAAATCGAGATCAATTGTTTTTGTTTTGCATATTGATAATAGAAAAGTGTAGTTTGGGCAATCCGTTTGAATAGAAGCAAGTGTGTTAAAAACGTTCCTGTTTCAATATTTCTTGCAATTATATTATCAGCACGAATGAGTGAGAAATTAATAGCGGTCACACAGACCGTCAATAGTAGTTAAATGTGGCGACTCACGATATATAGAAAAATATATTGCACAAAATTAATTTGACTGCACACGAAATAAAAAGAACGTGTTAAACGAATTTGAATGTTTCCAAATAACTCATTAAATTTTTCAGCATGTATGCAGGGTGTCCCATAATTATCTTAACATCCGGAAAGGTGTGATTCCTGAGGTTATTTGAAGTAACTTTTTCCTTAGCGAAAATACAAACCGCGGCTTTGTTTACGAGTTATTAACGAAAAACATTGACCAATGAGAGGCGAGATCAGCTGGCGCGAGGTGGCCAAACCAATCAGCGAAACTGGGCATCGACAATTCGTTGCGCTAGCCGAACTCGCCTCTCATTGGTCACTGTTTTTCGTTAATAACTCGCAGACAAAGCCGCGGATTGCATTTTCGCTAAATAAAAAATTAGTTCAAATCACCTCAGGAATCAATCCTTTCCGAATGTTAACATAGTTATAGAACACCTTGTATAAAGGTTACCGAGATCTACAAAATGCTACCTATATCTACAAAAATTCGAAATTATTGTTATAGTCTCAAATAAAAAAGTTGAAAGAACATCATTTTTTAATTGTTCTATCATACCAAGCAATTGCGATTATTGAAAACAATTCTTCAGCCATTGTCTAGTGAACAAATCCCTCTTGCATCTAAAAAATATTTTGATCGCTCGGTCCAGTTATAGAAACGTTATTCCATTTAAAAACGATACGAATACTTTTTCCGCCGACTGTATGCACGTTCTATTTAAGACATAGAATAATCTTAGTCGCTTCGCACGTCTAGATTCGGACGTTCTTATCCGGATTTCGAGAGACGGGAGAATTCTCCTGCAGTTTTCACAATTCAATTAAATGCTACGTTTCATGCAGGCATAATCCTAAACTTCGATGAACGCGATAAACGAAGGAATCTAGTTTTATCAACGGGGCACTGTCAGTAGCAGAACCGTGTAATAACGCAGCGATGTGAAAATCGTTCGATGATCTTAGAAGATAAATCTGAAACTCGCGGGGACTCGACAGAGTTAATTAAAGGGCGCAGAGAAAATTCTAGAAAGTACGGGTCTACGTAAAAGCGGTAAAATGCAGAAAACGAATAAGATCGCGGAGGATCGAGGCGATTGAGGTGGAAGCGAAATGGAGAGAGGCGGGGAACCGGAGAACCGCCACCATATAACCAACGATGCTTCGTACAAGCGAGCCGCCACCACGAGCTTAAGAAAGTGGTTTGTATATTACATCGTTGGCCTGCGGTCGCAGGCAAATCGCCGCTAAAACGTTCCGGCCGCAGAACCGACCTTCTTCGTCGCTCTTATCGTCCCCCCCGTGCCTCTTCCCATTTTTCCATCGCCTTCCCTGGTTAGTTTTGAATACTTACCCGGTTACGATCGCGCACCGAAAGCCAGACTTTTTAAAATTCTCGTCTGCAAGAGGAAATATCTCCGGATACAACCTGCTTGCAAGAATTCGTAGCACTTAATTGAACTGGTTCCTACGGCCGTGCCGCCGCGCCGTTCTGTATGGAAATTTCGCAGTTGCTCGCGCGAGGCGACCACGACTCGATATATATTTCGCGTTTGTTATCAGCGCTGTGCCGATACGTTCGTACGATTTCCAATCTTTACGGATAAATTTTCGGAGGACAATATCGCGCGGGATTTTATTATTTTTATAACAAACATCGTGGACTCGAAGCGATAGAAAGACTGCGAAAATTTCATCGATTGATTCAGTCGAATATCTGTCGAGATATGTACTTGACGATGGATTGTGAACTTGCGATGAACAATGCGGGAGTTTTATGAATAACGATTTTCTTCATTCTTGTGCTCGTACGGAGTTTAGGGTATTTAATGGCGAAACATTTCTCTTCGTTCATTTCCTTGAGCAAGACGTTCAAACTTCGAGTATTTTAACAAATATATGGTCGATCTCTGCAACGTAAAGATTAAAATGTTCTATAAACAGAGACATATCTTGTTTCCCAGATTTAGTAATAGATACTGTAGATACTTTCTGACAAGCTTATATATAAATGTATTCGACACAATAAAGATGATCGAAAACGATTGCAAATGTAATTTTAGAATTAGTAACATAAAAATAAACCGTATTAACACTATGCCGTCCGGTGGCACCACGCTGATGCCATGCAAAAACTATCTGTTGCATGCCGGTGCCATTTGGTGGTGCCATTTTCAAAAACTCAAATAACATTTGAACTATATTTCTTGGGTGTTGAAAGGCAGCAAACTAACTATAGCACTGTGCTTATTTGACTAAGAATTCATTACGAAAATTCTTGGATGACATATCTTAATTCTAGGAATTTATATTACCGCCATCTTCGAAATTCTTTTTAAAATCTAAAATTTCCAAGCTATTACGCCGGCGTCAAACAAAAGAATCATATCTAAGATCTGCGGACAGCATAGTGTTAATATGAAAGAACGTAGCACTCTACACACAATAACTAAAAAGAGAAACTTAATCGTGTATCGCACTATAATGTGTCAGACAATGAAACTGCAAAAGTACTTTCGCAGCAAACTACATAATATACCAAAACAAATTTCAAGAATTCTGAAGTGAAAGTAATAACAATAAAATTGGCTATACATCTGTTTCTTTCATCGAAACGTACACATTAAAGAACATAATGATTAAGTAAAATTTCAAAAAAACAACTTCATATTGCTGTCAAATATTGTGAGACAATCCTACAATAAAGTCTACTACATTTCNACTATCTGTTGCATGCCGGTGCCATTTGGTGGTGCCATTTTCAAAAACTCAAATAACATTTGAACTATATTTCTTGGGTGTTGAAAGGCAGCAAACTAACTATAGCACTGTGCTTATTTGACTAAGAATTCATTACGAAAATTCTTGGATGACATATCTTAATTCTAGGAATTTATATTACCGCCATCTTCGAAATTCTTTTTAAAATCTAAAATTTCCAAGCTATTACGCCGGCGTCAAACAAAAGAATCATATCTAAGATCTGCGGACAGCATAGTGTTAATATGAAAGAACGTAGCACTCTACACACAATAACTAAAAAGAGAAACTTAATCGTGTATCGCACTATAATGTGTCAGACAATGAAACTGCAAAAGTACTTTCGCAGCAAACTACATAATATACCAAAACAAATTTCAAGAATTCTGAAGTGAAAGTAATAACAATAAAATTGGCTATACATCTGTTTCTTTCATCGAAACGTACACATTAAAGAACATAATGATTAAGTAAAATTTCAAAAAAACAACTTCATATTGCTGTCAAATATTGTGAGACAATCCTACAATAAAGTCTACTACATTTCTTTCGTCAAAACCTATAAATTGAAGGTGGTGGTAATTAACTAATTGGTGAAAAAAACCAACCGAGCGTTAATATCTTTGCTAGGACATGTTTGGGCACGATAGTCGAGTGCCGCGGCGAGTTTCATAAAATGGATTGTTCGTCGAGTCGGCGGGCACCCCTCGCAAGATTATGATTTATCGGATGATATGTAGAACGAGTTCCCAACTCGGAAGAATAATAATTCAACTAATGTGTTCCTGGTTTATTTTCAGTGTCAGCGTCATCGAGGCTAGGAAGTCCGCGTGCCTCGACGATCCGAGCGAGCCGGAAACGGGCGCTAAGTAGTTCTCCGTATTCCGACCGCTTCGACATCGACAGCATGATCAGATTCAGCCCGAACAGCCTGGCCTCAATCGTGAATGGATCCCGGAGCAGCAGCGCGAGTGGCAGCTACGGTCATCTTTCTGCCGGTAAGTAAATTATTTATGCGTCATTATTGGCCGCGCTGTCTTCACCTCGCTCGAACTCGATGCATTATTCACTCATACAAACCTAATTAAATGTAATCTGAACCGTGTTGAGCAAACCACGGTACAAAAATGCAGATCGAATGATATTTCCACGGAGTCACCAAGAATCGTAATTGTAACTCTTTACGATTGGCATGTTTTTTATTTGTACAGTCAGAGAAGTGTGCAAAATAGCAAATCACACGAAGAAAGGCAATTATTAGGATAGTTTAGTTGAGAGACAGTCCAGTACACCCATTCCTTCACTCATTTAAAGATAAACTTTCATTTATACAATGATGACTATAAAAATATTGTAAAGTTCATTACTTATGTAATATACATTGCGAATCTTTATTGAAATCTCTATTTTCATAGACCTTTTCCTATGAACATAAATGAGGATTTATTTTGCAGATGAAAAGATTTTTTCAGATAAAAATAAAATAGGAATATCCTTTGTTAATATACATGTTCAATTTTATTTTACGAACTAGACAATGCTGCTAAGATATAATAAAGATTTACAGTCTACTAGTAGAAGTACCAACATGTAAAAGACAAGACGAGAAATCCTTGTCTAATTCAAAATCAACAAATGAAATGCTCACTGAACTTGTAATTAACATGTCTCAACTAAAATAGACGTATAGAGTTCTTGTCGAAACAACTTCGGTGTGTATACATTCAAATACGTATTACTCATACGTCGTGTTTATGTAAATCTAAATTTGAAACCATCACAAAAACTAACCCTTTATACTCGAATGTCTTCTCTCAAGAGGCATAACAAAACTGCCGATAACTATGGTATTTTCAAAATTAGGAATTTTTGTTTTATAAAATTTGTAGCAATGCGATCAAATTTGAATTAAACAGTCTAATTATGTCAAATGTTGTATCATTTTATGTTTCCTCTGAAGCGTTACTACTTCGCGAATAAAAATAAATTCGAGCTTTTCGCACGCGATCAAAGAAAGTTCTTTCACTGGAAAGGATTAAATGAATATTTCAGGTATTAAAGATATATAAAATTTTTCAGATGGCTATTAATTTTTTGTCCCTGCAAGAAACAATTACATGAATCACCATATTATTCAAATGTTCGCGTAGGAAAAATACGATTTAAATAACGTCATTGATAGCATCGCGATGCGTTTCACTTACCAGATTGCTGGTGGCTCAATGCATAACTATCGACCCGTCGATTCCACGTGGAACAAGTGGGACCACGTGTGCCCGCGTAATTATTCGTTCTCGGTTGTCGGAGGCCGCCGAAGAGAGACGTTCCGCGCGATTTACACCGCGAATAAATATCTCTGTAAATCGCGCGGGGCGGCGAACCCATAATTAAGAGATCACCCGCGCACCATATCCACCGAAAACGTAAGTCAGCGGTGTTTAACCGGTGTGTTTTCACCGAACGTATACCGTTCGGTGATTGATTGCACGTAATTACGCTCGGCGTCGTGTAAACTCGTCGTCGTCAAGTATGGCGAGGCAGCTGCGGCGGCGTCGGCCACGATCGGATCTCGACGGGATCGTAAATGTTTCGCGCGCGCGGATACGCGATACGTGAATTATACGCGTGTAATTATACGTGTACCCGGGCAGAAGTTGTTAATGCGACTACCGCGCAACGGCCATATTTTCCGAGTTATTGCCGCTACTATGCGACGAATAAATGAACCTCGTAAACAGCCCCCTTGAGGCGGGCAAATAGCTCCGTAAGGAAATCAGGTATCCGTACTCCGGGGTTCGCAAGATGGCGATCTGCGAAATGATCGCGAAGACGAGCATCTTCAACCCTCGGCCGTAAAATGCGTCCTGTGTTCTTGGATCTGTTTTGCGTGTTCTTAACCCGTTGCATTGTAACATCGTGTCAGATTCGTTACGAAGATTTCGAACATCAATTCCTAAATCTGCACCTGGTTCAACGAGAATCGACAGGAAATACGAACAGCTGCACGTGAGCGACGTGATCAGACCCGGACCGAAGCGTAATTCAATATTTATGTGATATCGTTAATTTAATATTATTAACATTATTACACGATAATGTAAATAAGAAGGCAAATGAAAGTACAACTTGATGTGTGGAAAACTATATTTTCGCATTTATTACATATACGTATGTACATATAACAATTATCCGGATTCTGTGTTTGAACTGTTAGAATTGAAACAATGTATAATGATTCAGCCAAATGCATCAATATTATGGTATCGAACGCTATTTTAAAAATTTGAGACGCTCGTGATTTTACACAATTATTACAGACATTAAAGAATATATTATACTTGTAAATCCGAACTGAAATTTGTGAAATTATAGTTTGGTTTCCATGGTTTCTTAACCAATTAACTGTTGTTGACGAATATATTCGTACATAATGTGTTGTCATTCCTTCAAGAAGAGTATGCTTGTCAGAAACAACTAACTGGTTAAGGAGTGGGCCGGAATTCGTAGTGCAACCGAGGAGGGGGTGATTCAACGTGAGAAAATAAGAAAAAGATTTGGTGTAACATTTTTTTATCCCGGGCTCCGTTTTTAGGAAAATCGACTTTAAAGTTTGTTCATCTTTGCGAACAATTTAGTTGTCGTCTATTCTTCTACCACAGGTGTCTTCGTCCGAGACAGTATTTACAAACATTGACAATGATGTAAACATTCCGTTTACTATAGATCTGACGCGACAAGAAGGCACCTTTGTATTTACTAGCTGCGGTAGTGGGACGGCTAGCAAGAGGGAGAACGTAAACACAAGAGTGCCTTCTTGTTGCACGAGGGCATAGTTTGCAACAATTAACATATGAGTCGTTTATTTTGAAAGTGGCATAAGTCACTTTGTTTTTAAGTCGAGATATTTAAGGGTTTGCGTTTTAACACGTTTAAAAATATGGATGCTAACTTTCGAGAAGATTTACTTGTATTTGTTATCTCAGGATACTGATATTTTTTTCAGTATAAATAATTTCGTATAAACATTAAAAAGTCACCACTTTTCATTACGGTAAAATGACTTAAGCCACTTTCAAAATAAATAGTTTAGAAAAATAACTGACATATATTAATTTATAAAATTGTTGAATAAATTACATATATAATAATAATTTATACCA